TGTTGTCTGCCGTCGTCCCGCCCTCTGGCTCGCGTCCCGCCTCCTCGCACCGGAGCTGCACGCAGGCAGCAAGGCGGCGAGAATCACCGCATTTCCCCCTCCCCAGCGGCACTCCGCTCCTCCGCCCGGCCGGCAGATCAGATGGGGCTACGCCGCCCGTAATTGTCACGGGCCGCACAGTGAGCTCCTGTGGGCCACATGCAGCCCTCGGGCCATATGTTGTGCAGGCCTGCTCTGGGCATTGGTCAGACATTTGATGCACCTTCCATCAAGGGGTCGGGGGGGGGCGGGTCTCTGGAACACTCGTGGGCTTCATGATCAGCCTGCCGGGGTTGGAACCCAGCAGCAGCAGCCCCAACCCCTCTGGGGGGCTGGTGAAGTGAGATCCCACTTAGTGGGTTAGCTGGTCAAACACTAGGTTAACCTAACATTTAACCAGTTAACTGATTAACCAGGATTTTACATCCCTACTAGCTACAGTGCTGAGCATTGCCCTGTTGTCAACTTCTGTTTAACCTTCCTTCAGTGTAAACTGTCTTACAGGTTCTAGCCACTAGATGGCGTCTGGAATCGACCTGATCCACTGTCTGTCCTCCCATCTCCCTCCTCTTTTTATGACAGACTTTAGTTCTTTTGAACAGGGGTGGGAAACCTTTTTTGGGTTTGGGAGCCACTCCTCCACAGAAAAATAAGCCAGGGGCTACACACAAGAGAGAAGCAAAAAAAAAACCAAAAACCCAAAACAAAACTTCCCCCTTCCCCCACTGACATGGATTAGCTGGCGCTAGCATATGGGTGAAGAGTCCTAAGGGGCTGCAGAGCTCGGGCACTGTGGGTCTGGGAGCTAATCACCACTCAAGCATGTGCTCTTTCCCCACTATTCATCTTCCTCTAAGGCAGGGGTCTCAAACTCCCTGCCCACGGGCCATCCCCAGTGGGAGCAACTGCAAAATCCAACCAGGAACTCCCAGAGGGCTGGAGGGGGAGGTCTATCGCTACCGGCCCCAAAGCCCTTCCCCTTCTCACCACTGCCCTGAGTTCCCCTTCTCCCATGACATTCCATTCCCTCAAGGACGCGACTTTGGGGATCACCGGGTGGACTTTGTCACACCAGCAGTCGCACCCCCCATGTTCCCTGTGCCGGGATGAGCCATGAGGAAGCAGAGCATGTGCGCTCATGCTCTGCTTCCCCACGACTCCTGCTTCTGCAGGGAGTGTGGGGTGGGAAGCAACTGCCACCGTTGCACCAGGCTTCCCAGTGATCCCTTGGTGCCATGGTGAGGAGAGGGGGTGGGCTTGAGGGCCAGTAATGGGCACCCTTCCCTCCCCCCTGCCCGCCGCTGCAGCCTGGAGTCCCAGGCTGGATTATGCAATTGTTCCCGCTGGAAATGGTCTGCAGGCTGGGAGTATGAGACCCCTGCTCTAATGATTTTGTTTTCTTTGGCACATCATTGTTTTCTCAGCAGGGGATGTATTTGCGAAAGGATTGTCTCCACTGATTGGCATGCAGTGTTGTCGCATCCCCACCCATCTGAGGATATTAGTGTGATGAGGTGTGCCAGGTGATACTTTTTATTGGACCAACACCTGTGGGTGAGAGAAGCCAGCTTTCAAACCACACTGAGCTCTGCTTCAGGTCTGGGCAAGGCACTTGCTTCACAAAGCACACAGAGATACTTTGGAAAAGGTGCTCAAGTAGTGGATCTTTGCAGACTTTGTGCCGTGAGTACTTTTCCCAGGACTGTAGAAGAGCTCCATGTGGTTTGAAAGTTTGTCTCTTTCACTCACACAAGTTGGTCCAAAAAAAAATTCTCATATCCTTCTTGTCTTTCAATTGATCCGGAAAGAAAGAAAACAGTGATTTTTTGTGAAGAGAATATTGCAGCTCTGGGACATCAGAGTTCACCCACTAAGTCTGTACACTTCAGTTCTTAAGGATCATGAGTACAATAATTTCTCCTGCAGCCGTTGTTGGTCTCGTCGTAGTAGCCATCAGGAATCAGTACAAAGATAACAAAGAGTTTATGCTGTAAGTCAGTGTTTCTCGAAGTGGGCTGCAAATGTGTTTTGGGAAAGCTGCTAGCAGGTTCACACTGCTTATTTTACCTAAAGGATCTGTAGCCAAGGTGTGGCCCAGACCACTGCTTCCTGCAGCTCTCCTTGGGTGGAAATGGCAAACTTTGGTGCCAATAGAAGGCTCTGTGGCACTTAGACCCATTAGGTAAACAAAGCGGCATGGGCCTGCCAGCGGCTTTCCCAAAGCGACTTTGAGAAACACTGCTCTAAGTTATGGGCCTAACTCTGCTCTTTCATCCAGGTGTGTCAAGTAGGATCAGGTCTAAGGAACCCAAGGGTTACACGGATGTGAAAGCAATGTGAGCCAGACAGACCCAAACTGCACCATGCCTTCTAAAGTAGAGGGCTTAGGAACAACATTTATTTTCATTCTTGTGCCTCTAAAACAAACTCCTTGGTTAAGACTGGCACCAACCCTAAAAAGATCCTGGGGCAGGCTGATTAGCTCAGCTAAATCTGCCCATCACTGGGGAGAGCTCCCTTTTTCACAATAAAGAAGTTCACCTGTGTTAGATTAAAATCCAGGTTCTGGGATACTTCTGAGGTTCTCCTTTTCCTATTGCAGACACACCCAGCCATACATCTGTGGCTGCCATATGACAAGGGGCCTGTTCTCAATCTTGTTATCTGGCATACCTTCGGGATACTTCCACTGAAGGCTGCGGGGTCAGAATCAGTGCCATATACTCTACCACTGACTTGCTCTGTGAATTAATTTGGGGGAGGGGTGCAAGTCACTTTACCCCGTCCCTCGGTTTACCTGTCTCTAACAATGAGAGAGCCTTGGGACTTGGGGTGCTGAGCTACTTCTGACAAAGTCCTGAGCTCCATGAACTTCCATTAACCCTACTGGATTTGCCTCTTGGGAAAGCGTTGGAATAAAATGCTGCTGGCGACTCTAGTGATTGACAACCCTTTAATTATGTCTGCATTTGTCTTTTCCCCTCCCCCAGAAATAAACAGCGGCATGGAGAATGCAGATGACCTGTCATTGTATTCTGAAAACGGCTACTCCAATGAGGCGATCGCCCCCATGGGTCGCCGGGACATGAAGCTGCGTGTGGACTGAGGAATTATAGGCCCATGGCACGACACCCCCCAGTGCTCGATGTCTGGGATGGGAGGGACACTTTATGGAACTACTAAGTGTGCAGGGTCCCCTTCTCTTGCTCTTGTTGCTGGCTCCCGACACACCCTGGACTGTGAGGCTGGGGCAGCTTTTTGTAAATATGTAAAAAGTCCTTTTTTGGTCTCTTGTATTTTGTGGGGGGTTGCCTGTATTTCTTCAAGGGAGTGAGTGGGAATAACTTGTGCATTGAAACAGGAACATTTTGGCTGAATCTGAGGAAATACTGAGGTGACATCCTGGACACTGTGGCAGACAAGTGGGACGTGGAGTTTGTCTTCCCCTTGGTGCAGCAATTGTTAGCTGAACTTGTTTAAAAACGATGTTGTGAAGTTCTTGTGACGTGTCCTTTCTTTTTCTGGCTACTGAAGTTTTAAGAAGGCTGCTCAGATCTTCCTAGCAGGAGGCAAGGTGTTGCTTCCAAAAAGTGTTCAGAACCAGGAGAAAGAATCAGATTGACTGAATCCCTTCCATGTGTTCCCCAGAATAGTAGGACCAAGGCATACAGGGAATCATATGACACACATGGCACAAAGTTTTATGGCCTGTACTGCAGTCCTTCCTCCGTGAAATCTCCCCGGGAAGCTCCTGACCTGAGTGAGAACCAATGTTCCTTCTAATTTTTTCTATCCATGTGTGGAATAAATTTTGTTATATGCACCAAGGCATGTGTGGATGTGTACCATCAACAGAAACACATGCTGCTGGTTGTAGGGCACTCTGCTAGTCAGCTGGGCAGCATTTGAATTTCTCCTGGGTGGCCACCCAAACACACAGCTTATAGGGAACTTTGGTGAGGACCTTAAATAGATTCCTGGTTGGGATTTCATAAGTCAGTCTCCATGAAAAGTCTTAATTTCATGATCATTAGCTAAGAGCACCACCTTGTCCATCATGCTGATCCAGTGCTGACCACTTAGAATGAGGGGGCATAGTTTATGTTAACCCTTAACTTGGTGGTGGGGCAGGGAGTTCTCAATCAGCAGTAGGGTCGAAGCCTGTGTTTCTCAGTCGCAGGTCAAGCAGCTCAGCTTGAAGAACTGAAGCTTGACAAGGCAGTGAAGAATGCTGGATTGTAAATAGTAAAGTATAGAATGAAGCTGGCTAGGAGAACAACTCATTTAACAAGGGAGACTTTCTCCTTAACTCTGTTGTTGTGTGGAAGCAGTATCTTTCTTTTTTTTTTAAAGACTGCTCGTTAATTTCCTCCAGAGTGAGAATGACGGCCAATGAGGTGTTTGCACTGGAGAGGTACTACCATTTGCTGCTTTTTTTTTCTTCAGTGGAAGAGGCTTTAAACCAAAATCCTACATTGAAATAAAAAAAGCACAGAAATTGAGTTGGATCAGTAATGCATTTTTTCCCTCTTCCAAATGTCAATATTTTTTCTCAGTCGTCAACTCCTCTCCCTCGCTCAAAACCCACACTGCCTCTCTCTTTTCACAAATCACAGCTGAGCCACAAACAAAAATCTATGCAATTGGCCTTTGGGGGCATGTCTATACTCACTCTTGATCCACAAAACCTTTGTTGTTCATGGGTGCTTTTAACCTGCCTCCCCATCGCCCATGAACAACAACACTTTGCTGCAGCAATTGAAAGTGTGAACACCTTTTTGTCAGCATGAGCGCTTTCTTGTCAACAAAGCAAAACCCGCTCATTGGGGGAGGAAGTATTTTGTCAGTAAAAGTGCGAAAAGCAGCATTCACACAAGCTGGCTTTTAGCAACAAGGCTGTGTCGACTTAAAACTGCATAGTTTACCCTTTAACAGTAGTTTTTCCCCTTCTCTCACTGAGATGAGTCAGGTATTAGGGTGTTTGTCTTTTTTGCTCTTTTGCCGGTTCCCAAGTCTGTTGCAGCCAGAAAAAAGACTCCCATAGATTTAAGTAGGCTTTGGATTAATCCCTAATCTTCTGTGGTATTTGTTAGTTTCACTTCTTTATTGCCGCTTGGCTAACCTGGAAATGTGGAATATGGGAAATACCATTGATTGCTTCTTTTGAAGTTTGTCAGATGCTGCCTTGAAAATCAATTGTGTGTGAAATTTGGCTCCTGATGAGGGGTTTGAGTCAAGTTTGAGATTCTTCAATCAAAAGAAGGTGAATTGGGATTTATTTTCAGAGTCCAATTACAAAGAAACTAAAGCCATGGCATTGACTTTGCTAAACAGAGAGCAAACTCTGTTTAATATTTGCTGCTAAATTGTATTGTACACCAAATGTAGAGTGTTAATGACTTTACCAAACCAAGCTCAGAATAGAAATATTTTCATTAAATGATTTCAGAATTATTAAGAATGTAAACATTCCCCAGCAGTGTTAGAAAGCAAAACCCAAAGGTGTTGTGTGAGGAATAAGAACTGGGAAGTGAAAATGACTAGAAACAAAAAGTGAAACTGACTGATCTAACTGAATGAAATGCAAAATGTCAACAGTGCCTCTAGGTTGTGGGAGAAAAAAAATTGTTTTGTTTTTAATAATCAAAGATGCTATTAGTAACACAGGTAAGGAATTAAATATCTTTATATGATATAAATTCATTGCTCAGTTATTACCCTTTAGATTCTTATCAGGGTTACATCCTGTAAATCCAAAGCACAGCTATTAAAATAATTTGAATTGACTCTGAATTTTTATCAGTGTAGCTGGAATCAGAAACTGGCTCTGGATCTATAGGTCACCCTCAATACACTACCCTTTTTCATGGTACTCTCTCAAGTCTGTGTGAAACAAGGTGACTTTCTGCAGAAGTGAAAGGTCTTATATAAAGTTGCTCTTCTTTTAATTATGGTGCAGCATTGAAGCATTGCTGACTGATTGTCATATCAACTGAAATACTGTTAAATCTCTGCATCTGTTGATGATTACCTTCATGTTTGGTTTTTATCCTGGGACATGACTTTGTGGACAAGTCAGAAGCTTTTTGAAAAAGTTTGGGTGGGTTAAAAAAATCCAACAAAACATTGTTGACTAAACAAAGTTGATTCACAACACAAATTTTTACTCTTAGACCCTTATCCTCCAGGTTATGCAGTGATTTTTACCACTGTCACCTTAAAGATTTACTTTATTTTTTAGAAAGTATGATAGTTTTCAATAAAAATATTGAAAGACCAAAATCACCACTACCCCCCTCCAGCGAGCTCTCTGTGAAATAAACATTCAGTATTCCTCTGCTGTTGTGCTCCTGTTGTGTTTTCTGAGCTTGCTTACAAAATGCCCTGGTTTTTACAGAGCATTCTCTCCACAGAGTGAGATCGAAGGGTTCTGCTTGCTTGCGGTTGTGCTAGTGAGCTCAGGTCTCTCCTTTGTGAGACCAACAGCCTTAAAAGAAGCAAGAATGGGTATGGCCAGCAACCTGGACAACTTCAGGAAGTCCAGTTGTGTTCCGCCTTCCTAAGATTGCCTCCTGAGGTTTCAACTGGATCTCATGGGACAGGAGGTGTAGATAAACAGTCTTCATATTCCACGCACTGCGAAACAGCTGCTCTAGTCACCCCACCACGTGGCTGCATTTAATTAGTGGGTGAAGGGATTTTTGCATCTACATGCTAGAGTTGGGTGGGCAGATGGTTAAGGCCCTCAATTATTTTCCAGTTGATTTCCCTCCCCCCCCGAATGAAATGGCTCCCTTTTGAATATTCATCAACCAAAATACCACTTTTTTTTCATTTTTGGGTCAGTTAAAATGTGGAGATGTGGGGCTTTTTTTTTCTTGAGGCTTTTTTAAAATTAGCTTACATTTTGAAATGAAAAACCATTTTTTAACTGAAATTGTCACAGTTGAATTTTTTTCTTACCTTTTGTTGGAGTGGGGAAATTCCTCAAACTGGAGGCTGTTCCCTGATCAGTTTTAGGTTCAACAAATTGACATTTTCCAATACAAACTCCCATCTGCCCGAGCCTTAGGCCTGGTGTGACCTCATGTGGCCCAAAGCAGAGAGAAGGAGATAATTTTTTTTTCCTGCTCCCAAATTAGCTGCGAGTCTGTGTCTATTGATTTTTAGCTTTTGTATGTTGACGGTTTAACAGCAAGCTGGTACCCTGGCACCCTGCTCCTTGGCACTGTGTTCATAGAATCATAGAAGATTAGTATTGGAAGAGACCTCATGAGGTCATAAGAACGGCCATACTGGGTCAGACCAAAGGTCCATCTAGCCCAGTATCCTATCTGCTGACAGTGGCCAATGCCAGATGCCCCAGAGGGTGTGAACACAAAAGGTAATTATCACGTGATCCCTCTCCTGTTATCCATTTTCAGACAGAGGCTAAAGACACCATTCCTACTCATCCTGGCTAATAGCCATTGATGGATCTAACCTCCATGAATTTATCTAGCTCCTTTTTGAACTCTAAAGTCCTAATCCTCACAACATCCTCTAGCAAGGAGTTCCACAGGTTGGCTATGCGCTGCATGAAGAAAAACTTCCTTTGTTTTAAAACTGCTGCCTATTAATTTCATTTGGTAACCCCTAGATCTTATATTATGGGAACAAGTAAATAACTTTTCTTTAATCATTTCTTCCATGCCAGTCATGATTGTATAAACCAGGCATGTCCAAAGTCCGGCCCGCGGGCCAATTGCGGCCCGTGTTCTGGTTTAATACGGCCCCCGCTTCCTCCCCCTCTCCCGGCTCCCCGGCGCTCTTTTGAACTGGCGCGCCCAGCGCGCCGCTTCCGGCCGCACCGCCGCCCATGGCCTCCGCGGTCCTAGAGCCTGCCCTGCAGTGACACCCCGGCGCTCTTTTGAACTGGCGCGCCCAGTGCGCCGCTTCCAGCCGCCGCCACCCATGGCCTCCGCTGTCCTAGAGCCTGCCCTGTAGGGCACATCCGCAGCCCCACTCCCCCACTCGGCTGCGGGTTCGCCCTGCCCCCGGGCCGCCGTGAGGCCGGTGTGCCCTGTGCTCTCCGCCCGCCTCCGACCCCACGGGCCCTCCGCCTTGGGGCTGAGAGTGCGGGGACGGCCCTCACGCATGTTCACTTCTTCAAATCTGGCCGTCTTTGAAAAAAGTTTGGACACCCCTGGTATAAACCTTTATCATATCCCCCCTTATTCTCCCCTTTTCTAAGCTGAAAGTCCAAGTCTTTTTAATGTCTCTTCATATGGGACCCATTCCAAACCCCTAATCATTTTTGTTGCTCTTCTCTGAACCTTTTCCAATGCCAATATCTTTTTTGAGCTAAGGCAACCACATCTGTATGCAGTATTCAAGATGTGGGCATACCATGGTTTTATGTAGAGGCAGTAAGATATTTTCTGTCTTATTCTCTATCCCTTTTTAAATGATTCCTAACATTCTATTTGCTTTTTTGACTGCCTCTGCACACTGAACGGATATTTTCAGAGAACTATCCACAATGACACCAAGATCTCTCTTGAGTAGTTGTAGGTAAATCGGTCCCCATCATGTTGAGGGTGAAGGACATAATCTGTTTGCACGTTATAATTTGATGTAAAGATGAATTATTATTGGCTTAGGTTCTGTAAATTCTCCTTATGGTTACCCCTTCCTGAGTGAATGCATTGTGTGTGTGGGAGACAAACATGCAGTGGGTGAGGAATTTTTACTCACCTGAACTTGAGTGCACACAGCCCAGAAGGAAGACCTATGGACTCAGAAGCTGCACATGGCCTGTAACATCATCGATCCAACGAAGAGAGAGAGAACCTGAAAGGGGATCACCAAGCAGGACCTCCCGAGGATGCCCTCTACTCGGATCACCTGGCCAGCGAACCGGTTCTGCGGTCATCACAGGAAGATATCAACAGCATGAACCTCAGCATGAACTCCTGGTGCCTGGCGCTCAGCCTGTATTTCGTCAGACTGTAAGTGTGATTGAGGATAATGAGAGTAAGCCTTCTCTTTGCCCTCCTTTCAGAGTAGGTTACAGCTATTAAAGCAATTTGTGCTCTTTACCTCGTGGTCCCAGTTCTTGTTAGGCCAAGGTTAGTTGCACGCTTGCAACATTTTGGTGGAGATGCCAGGGACAGGGGTGTAAGGATCCAGCCTTGATTCCCCAGGGAAGTTGAAGTAGGACAGCTTGTGGCACGTAAGGATGTCGTAGGCTAGCAACCCATGGCTCACAGACTGCCCATCACCCCCCTTCCCCCCCCCCGAACAACACAATGCCCATTTGGGGAAGAGGCAGAGGGAGCATAAAAACCTCTGACAAGGGGGGAAAAGACAGGAATGCAGTGCCCACCCCAGGGCCCCTGACAGAATGGTTACAGGTCTAGGGGGCCCACCCCTGGGTCCCGGGGGGGGAAGGGGGATGCTGTCAGGAGCGATGTCGGATTTAGACATGATGATGGAACAGTATGTATTATTATATAAGCCAGATAAAGCAGGCAAAGAGAGCGCTGCCGCATGCCCATCAGTTGGCACAAGATATTGGACATGCTGAAGGAAAAACAATGCAAACTTGAGAAAGAACGAGATATGTGGAAAGCCCAGGCACTGGCCACCATCTCCCAGGCCTCTTCTCTCTTGGTGGCAGCCGTCCGAGTGGCAGCCACAGAGGAAGAGCGAGAGTGGGTGCAGGTAGAGAATACCGCTCTTAGTCAGGCGGTGACGTGTTTAAAGGACATTGTTTTACAGGGAGCTATGCGGGAGGTACGGGGTGAGAGCTGCCCGGCCACCATCATGAGTGTCCATAAGGAAAGTGTGCCCCAGGACCTGGGGATTGAAGACAAATGGGATGGGGATGTTTGGTACCACCCTGACACCCCCAGATCCTGGGGGCCCATGGCAGAGACCCCACCACTCAGTAGCAGCCTTACAATGGGTGTTTTAAAATTTTGGGCTGGCCCCTGCAGATGGGGGAAAAAGACCCTACCTCGGACTCACTGTCTCCGAGGCAGAAACAACCCCTGCCCAAGCGGTTGAACTAGCTAAAACATTGGGTGGGCCCAACTGCATCAAGCCGAGGTCGTCGCATATACCAGTATTTTTTATATGCTACTAGGGATGGCCCCTGTGGTAGGGCCACGTGTCCTATTGGCCAAATTTATATTGGCAACAGCTGCCCCCAGAAAGACCCTGTGCATTCCGTTGAAAGAATTTCCTGCCTCTGCAGCCAATGGGCAGCCCTCACGGTGGGTGGACAACCCCCCCTAAACGCTGACATAGATTAATTTGCCTACGGAGGAATTGCAGCTGATTGCCCAGGGACTTCCCACCCCGATCCAACAGGCGATAGGGCAGTGGAGTCCAGGAGAGCCTGCAAATATAGATGCCCTGTTGGACGTGGTCTGACAGGCGGCCCTCATTAGCCCCCAAGAATCACGCTTTGTTGGGGGTAAGGCGAAGGTAGCAGCCGTAGATAAGAAATCAGCTGGTAGACCGGATTCCCATTCGGTTGGTTGCAAGGGACCATTCCGCCTTCAAAATGGTTTGTGGCGTGCCCTGTTAAATTCACCGCTAAACCCCTCCAGGCCAACTGGGAAGGCCCTTTCACTATTGTAAATCACCCTGGGGAAACTGTCTATACTATAGACAAAACACCAGAAGGTAAATCGGTCCATCGCAGACAACTAAAAAGGATCTCTGTCATACTGAAGCAGAAACCTCGGGTTCTCATATAAACCGCTCTAGCACTGATCACTCCATTTGCTGTATGAGACCTTCCAATTACCCAACCTCTCCCCTGCGGCCATTCATAAGGGTTAGCGTCAGCACAGTAGATGGAACCCCTTTGCCCATAATTGATCCCTGCGATCATGAAGGCCCAAATCCAGAGGGACATCTCTCCCATATGGGTGACTATTATAACACACGTATACATTCCTGATGCACCCCCCTGGGTGTCATGGGGAGGTAAGATCATTATACGATTAACTTGGAATGGATCCAAGGCAGACCCCACCAACTCAATTTGGCATGAAGGAATCTGGTCACACTGCAACTGAGTCAATTATTCCACAGAATGTAGTTGGTTTGATCACTCCACCACCCAAAATCGCCAGTGGAGGAATTCCTCTATTGGGGTGTCCGCTGATCTAAATTCCAACTTTAGAATTGTTTTGTAGTCACAATGGTAGAGTAGCAGCTCCAAGACTTGGGAAAGATGCCCCATCGGGGGAATCCTTAATATATGCCTTTGTTTTTATACCCAAGACCGTTATTTCTGAGGGTGGATACTTCAGTTTTGAGGAGGATGGAAGCCAGGGGAGGTGATGCTGCAATCCCATCCAGGTGCCCTAGTGTATGCCCAGGCTCCCTCACATCAAGCTGAAGTGGTAACGGTTGCACAGTTGGTCCTATAGCAGATCCATTTTAATATGACTTAAATTAATGTAACTACCGTATGGCCAAACTGCTCATAGTTTGTACAGCCCTGGTTACACCTAACCCTTAGTCCCCCCTATTGATCAAAGCGGGACATGAGAGAACTGGTGTTGGGTGGCCTGGGAACTGGGGCTGGGATTGTAAACTCAGTAGATATTAAAATTCTAGCTAATAAGCTATCATCTACAGGCTTGTTATTTCAGAAGCCCCAATATACAGCAGCAGGCACTGCAACAAACCTAGTGGCTAGCCAAAGTATGATACTGCCATTGGAGTTGAACCTATAGCCCTCTAAACCCCCTTTCCGCTGCTATAAAATCATTTGTGAACCATTCATGGGTGGATCAATGTATCACGGTTCAACAGGTGTTGTATGCTGGCTGGTTCTGGCAACGCTTATTGTTAGGGCAGGGCATGGTTCCCGAAACAATGCAACAGCATTTTCCTGAGGTTGACTGGAAATATGCCCACCGCGTTTTATACAAAGAACAAGGATCCTGAATGGGAATCCTGTCACTTTTAGCCATGCTGCGCGGGTCACGCACGCTCACGTCTTCCATCGTTCCAGGCACGCGCTCCTCAAGCTAAGGAAATCCACTCCAGCACTCTCTCCCCAATAGCCTCTGGAACGCCTAAGACTTAAATGTACACGGGGTCCTCACAGCCTCCACAGGCCACCGGGCAAGCTGGGGGGGTTGGCTCTGTGCTCCCTAAAGGGGTGGGGCCTTGGGCAGAAGGGGCGGTGCCATGGCAACCAGCCCTCAGTGCCACACGGAGCATGGTGCACCCCCGTCCTCAGAACCATCGAAAACACGGGGTGGCAATTTAAAGGGCCTGGGGCTCTCACCGCTGCCCCAGTAGAGGGAGCCCTGGGCCCTTTTGGATTGCTGGGCCCCGGGGCAACTGCCCCCTCAACCAACTCCCCTCCCCCAACCCCTCTCCCCGTCGGCCAGGCCTGAATGCTTATAAAATCCTAGAGGGTCACACGTATCCTGGCTTCTCGTTGCATATGCCAGGAGCTCCCTGCATCCTCCTATCTCCCTCTATTTCAGGGGCTCCCCATAACCCTCCCTGCCCACACTATGGTCCCCCATACCTGCTCCCCACCATGGCAGGGGTTGTGTCCCTCTCCCCATACCGTTCCTCCTTACCCTCATACCAAGGGTCTTTGCCTTCCCATTTCTCCATTCTCCCCCTGCTAGGAGCTGTGTGCTCACTCCTGCCCCCAGATTTCCCTTTTTCCACAACAGTCTTGTTCCTTTGTCTTCCCTGCCAGGCTGTAAGGAATCAGAGTGGCCTGTTTAAAGGCTGGTGGGAGGAAGGCTAGAGCTGAGGTGTGGAGTGCAGTTACACTGGAAGGTGTCGGTAGCTGTCCTCAGCCCCAGTCTCCCATCTCTAGGCAATAAGAGGTAGTTGAAGGGTTGCTTTCCCCATTACCGAAATGCAGCCACTTCTAGGCTGGGATGCAGTTGATGTTACCCAGTGCACAGCAATGCTTCACCTGCAACTCTGCGAATGATTCAGTGAACCGCTTGCTTGCTTGATTTTTTTTTTTTTGGCCTTTTTTGAATGTGCGAGCAGATTATGATTTGCTCGTGCTTACTTGATCTATGGATTTGTTATGGTGGATCACATGAGGTAGAGTCTGTTTCCTGATTGGATTGTGGCTCCAGCCTTCCTGGCCCTCTAGTAGCTAGAGCCGGGGTGGGGAACCTCCAGCCCGGGGGCTGGATGCGGCCCCTGAGGCTCATGCCCCCCACCATTGGGGAGCCTGTATTGGTGCTCCAGGCCCCCATCCCCACTGTGGGGCTGGAGCACACAAGAATCTACAAGGCCGGGGCCCCCTAACCTCTGGTGTCTGTGGGGAATGTCTTTCTCCTCAGTCAGGCACAATATCAGTGAGGGTTTTGTTTGTGTTTTTATTTTTGCCTCTCACTTGTGTGCGGCCCCCCCGGCTGATTTTTCTATGAGTCAGCTGACCCCCAACCCAAAAAAGATTCCCGTCCCCTGAGCTAGAGGGTAGAATGCTTATTGTACGAGTAAAGTAACAAATACTCTCTGAGCTCCAGCAGTGGGCTGAAAATCCTGGATTCTAGGCCGCCACTAAATGTGCAGCATAATCGCTGGCAGTGAGGTGTGTCTGTGTTACTGGCTTGTCAGAAACTCTTGTGAGTGTCTCTTTCACAAGTGGCTTTGACAGGGAAGTGGAGGGATATGGAAGCACAGACACTCCATCCTTGTAAACATGCTTCAGTGATATTTGTGGCCCCCCTTGTAATCATCAGACTGCACAGCTTTGATTCTGCACCACCGGATATGATCAGTACAGTGTCAGAGTACGAACAGAACATGCAGTTCCAGAGGGGTTACGCTCTTGGCCTCAGATCCAGAGATTGCTAAGGGGCTGTACATAAGGCCTTGTCACCTCCAATCAAAGATCAGCACTATGGAGATTGATCTACCAGGGGTTAATTTAGCATGTCTGCTAAATTGACTGCTGATCCTGCTCCTGTTACTCCTTGTGACCCAGTGAAGTATGGAGTTAAGGGAAATCAGCGGGTGAGTTTCTCTCATCTACCCTCCCTCGCCCCCCACACACAGTGGAGATGCGGCGGTAACTCGAGCTAAGGAATGTCGACTCCAGCTATGCTACTTACATAGCTGGAGTTGCAGACGTTGGTTCAGTTCTGCCCCCTTGTGTAGACCTGGTCTGAGAATTGTTACCCTGGGTCAGACCAATGGTCTATCTAGCCCAGTGTCCTGGCTTCTGATAATAGACAGTGCCAGATGCTTCAGAGGGAATGAACTGAACAGGGTGATTATGGAATGATCCATCCCTGGTCATACAGACCTAGTAGTAGTCTGGGGTGTGGAGACACCCAGAGCATGAGCTTTGGTTCCTAATCATCTTGGCTAATAGGCTTTGCTGGACCTAGCCTCCAAGAGGTCACGGAAGCCAGGTACAAACACAAGACTACACAGGTCTGATTTCCAAGCCTCATTTCACTAAATGCCTGGGGCAAACAGCGGGGTATGTGATGGAGAAGTAGAGCAGAGGTGCCACGTCATATGGGACAAAGGAGCATGAGACCCAACCCATGGCCGGGGTGGATATAGGGCAGAGTGAGTGGGGCAGCCACCCTGGGCCCCACGCTTCAAGAAGCCCCGCGGCAAAGGGGGGCTCCCCGAAATGGGCTTCTGTCCCTGCCCATGGCAATCAGGCAAACAACACTGCATTTGCCAGTGGTTCATAGGCAAATCTTGTAAAGCCACCAGTCTGTGCCCGGTTTGGCACATTGCGCAGAACGGAGCTGTGGATGGAAATGAAATTCTGATGTGAAGCAGACATGACATTTCTTGAAAAAGGACCATTTCTAATGTGGAATGACAGGCCCTGTTCAAACTGACCCAGGCACGTGTGTGTGTGTGTGAGAGAGAGAGACAGACAGACAGACAGAGTGAGCAGGCTGCACGCTGCTGCAAAACTCAGAAGGGGTTTTTTTTTTTTTAGGACAATGGGCACTTCTGAGAGGAAAATGCCAGGCTGTAAAAGGCTCATTTAAATTTCAGGGGGCAAACTCCCCTTCTGTCCTATTTTTGTCTAGGGACATATATATATCTATATATATAATTGTGTGTGTGTATATATAGATATGTAATTATCATGAGCTTTCATGTGCACAACCCACTTCCTCAGATGGCTTTGCCAAATATATATATAGTTAGACTCTAAGGTGCTACAGGACTATTCGTTGCTTTTCCAAAATTACAGACTAACACAGCTACCCCTCTGAGACTTTTAAACATGCAAACAACTTCCCAGAGTTGAGCCTACAGTGGGGGTGCATCCCCTGGCTTGAAGAGATGTCCATAATATACAGTGTGTTCAATGGCTCTCATCACCCACCATACAAATAGTTACAATGCTACTGAGCAGAGATGCCTCCCTCTTGCCTGGTTTATAGCACTGGAGGCTTCGCTGTGTGGGCGTGTTTTTTTAACTGCTTCGTGTGGTTTTCAGAGAGACCCAGAGACTCTATCAAATGAGCGGTCCCACCTGGCCCCCTGTTTGCTCTCCAGATGGCTCATCTCTCATAAGCTGCCCCCGGTGTAACGTTTTTCTGAGCTGTGATTTTTTTTCTTTTTTCCTCTGCCCCTCCTTTCTTTCCTGTCTGCTGATTTCTGACACTGGGACTCCTCCCTGAAGGGCTGCGATTGACAGCTGCAGCAAATGCCCTGCGTCAGGCAGGAGGAACAAAAGCAGATTGTGAGTCCCTTCTCCCTCTGTGGGCCTTTGTGCTTTCCCCCAGCAGCCGCAGAAGGGCTGATCTCTCCACCTCTCCTCAATGCCGCCTGCAGCTCTGTGAGGGAAGTCTCTGGTCCCGACGATGGATGAGTCCAGGTGAGTACTTGCCGAGCGGATGGGGGACCCCTTCTTCCTGAACAAAAGGGCTCACTACACCCTGACAATCGGTGCTTGGGCACCCAGTCTGTGGAGGGAAGGGATGGGTGTGATGTCATTCATGCAAGGTGGGCCAAGGGGGATGGAAAGGGAGGCGAGACATGTGGGATGTTTGAGGGGTTCTCTTTATGCCAGCAGTCAGGAGCCTGGCTGAGCTGGGTGAACATGGAAGCCTGTAGGGTGACACCACCAGCGTGGGGGGTTGCGATGAGGGCTGGGGTGGGGGCAGTGTCATTGTGAGGCACACACCTGTGCTGCTTGTTGTACAATGCAGTGCCATGTGAGGCAAAATCCTGGTGCTCATGTGTCTCACAGCTCCAAGGTTTGCTTTGCGGAGGTAGCTTTCAGGGTTTTCTTTGTTTCACACGGATGAATTACCTCAAAGTCAATTTCATTTTCTTTGAGAGGCACGACCAAGGGCCTTGTTCTTAGTGACGTTCTGAGGCTCACTTACCTGCGTAACTCAACTAGCCTGCAGCATCGCAGCATCTCAGTCATTCATGGATTTCCCCCTCCCCCCCACACACACACAATGTCCTGTGAGGTAGGGAACTGCTGTTATCCCTGCTGGACAGTAATTGAGTTGATGTGCCAGAGTTGGGAACTGAATTCAGGTCTCTCAAGTCCCAATCCAGTCCCTATATGCTGGCCATTCTTCCGCCCTGGTGTAAAAGGAAGTGGCAGTAGACCACTTTGTGCCAGAGTGCACCAAATAGCCCAAGTGATTATTTATGAAAGTGGAACAAACCTGTCAAGTTTTACAGTTTGGATGAGCAAAAGCTTCACTAATGCATGAACAACGGGATTTATTTCCACACTTCACTTGTAACATCTCCTGCAAAATCCATGGCCTTGAAAATTAATCTAAACCCTAGGCATCTTTTTTCTCCAAATAGTTTGTTTTTGTTTGTTTTAAAAAATTGATGAAAATTATTTTAATATGAGATTCCCGCCCTCCCAAAAAAATTTAATTTTAAATTAAAACGTTGTTCACTCATTCTTTTTTGTTTTCATTTTTTGGTGTTTGGTTTTTTTCTCCCAGTTGCCAATTTTGACTGCTCAGCTTCTGTCCAGAATGGAATTGTCCAAATTAGTTAAATCAATACATTCTAAAACACTAAATTGTGAGGACCCTGATTTTCAAAGAGAGTCTCCACAACATTCAGCTGGCTTTATTTTGTTGGGGGTGGGAAAAGAGCTCTAACAGTTAAAATGTGACACACAACCATCTTCATAGAGCTTTACATTTGGGGGGAATAGTTGTCTTTATTTTTTTCCCTCATGGATTTTTAAGGCCAGAAGGAACCAAAAGGGTCATTGAGTCTGACTTCCTGTATAACATAAGCCACAGACTTTCACCAACAATCTGTGGTTGAAGGGGGGATGTGTGCGTGTGCGTGTGCGTGCATGCGCACGTATGCTATTTCATAATAATCTTCCAGAATGGAGAAGTTCCTACACGCATTAAGCACTTCTGCCTGGGGCCATTTCTGCTCTGAAGAAGTGACACTTGTGGCAGGTTTGTATTCAGATTAAGTGCCGGTTTAAACACCTGAACCATAATTTAGAAACTGACTATAGTTCTTTATTTAGATCCCACCCTTAGGCAGTGTCTGCACTTAATGTCCTACAGCTGCAGCATGTCGGTGTGGACACTACCTATGCCAATGGGAGCGCTTCTACTGTCGCAGTAGTACATCTATCTCCCTAAGAGGTGGGAGCTAAATTGATGAAAGAATTCTTCTGCTGTTTACATGGAGACTGAAATCAGCTGAACTCCACCGCTCAGGGGCTACGTCTACATTGGCAAGATTTTGCGCAAATACTTTTAACTCTGTCAGTCCCCGTAATACACGAGGTTCGAAGGGATGCCGGAAAGGATGAGACCACAACTGGGGGTTTCAAAAAGTACAAACTGATTTTATTTTGATGGCGCCAGACAATCATCAGAACAAAAATTAAACAGATTGCCAGACAACACAAAACAATTCCCTGAGGCTTTTCTAAATCACAATAATTCCCAATAACTGCCCAGGGGTTAGGAACAGTTGAATTAACACTGGTATTGTCCATAGGGCTGATTATTTACACAACTTTATACAAGGAAACAGTAAAAAACCTAAACCACAACTATTTAAAAACTAACTTAGTAACTTTTTAGCCATGTCACTTGACAAGCAATAAGGACAACTAAAAAATCAATTAGGATAGGGATGATGGTGGCTGCCTGGGGCCATTTCTGCTCTGAAGAAGTGACACTTGTGGCAGGTTTGTATTCAGATTAAGTGCCGGTTTAAACACCTGAACCATAATTTAGAAACTGACTATAGTTCTTTATTTAGATCCCACCCTTAGGCAGTGTCTGCACTTAATGTCCTACAGCTGCAGCATGTCGGTGTGGACACTACCTATGCCAATGGGAGCGCTTCTACTGTCGCAGTAGTACATCTATCTCCCTAAGAGGTGGGAGCTAAATTGATGAAAGAATTCTTCTGCTGTTTACATGGAGACTGAAATCAGCTGAACTCCACCGCTCAGGGGCTACGTCTACATTGGCAAGATTTTGCGCAAATACTTTTAACTCAAGAGTTTTTGCGTTAAAGTATTTATGCAAGAGAGCATCTACTCAGGCATGTGCTTTTGCGCAAGAGATGTGCTTTTTTGCAAAAGCATCTATGCCAGTGTAGACGCTCTCTTGCGCAAGAAAGCTCCAATGGCCATTTTCGCCATCGGGCTTTCTTCCGCAAGAAATTCATGTTGCCTGTCTACACTGGACTCTTGTGCAAGAACAGTTGCGCAAGAGGGCTTATTCCTGAGCGGGAGCATCATAGTTCCTGTGCAAGAAGCACTGATTTCACACATTAGAACGTCAGTGTTCTTGTGCAAGAACTCCCCACCAGTGTAGACAGGCAGCATGTTTTTGCACAAAAGTGGGTGCTTTTGTGCAAAATCATGCCAATGTAGACACAGCCAAGGAGTGTGGAGTGTTCACGCCCCTGAGTGACATAGCGGGGTAGGCCTTAGCTCGTAGTTTTCATCATGTTAGTTTCAACAGTCCAAAACAACAGTGTCAGAGACCCGTAGACTCCATACACCAAAGTAATGCAACTAGCTAGGGAGGCGATACTTCTGAGTGGATAGAGCAGGGGACGTTGCTCAGGAAATCTGTGTTCTATTCCCTGCTCTGCCCCATTGGCCTGCGGGGGACTGTGGGCAAGTCCGATCCTTTCTCTTAACCTCAGTTTCCCCTTCTGTAAAATGGGGCTGATGCTGACCTCCTTTGTAAAGAACTTTGAATGCACCAAGGTCCTACTGTTATGTAGCTCTTGTCTGTAGCTCTCAGCCACATGTTCTTCGAGTAGCTGGTTCCAGCCCAGCAAAGAGCTGCTGGTGGACTTACTGCTTCAGCTCCAGTGCTTTTCAGTGCTGAGGGTCCCAGGATTGAGCCCTGTGGGGGTCTGTGTGCTGGTGGCTGTGATTTGGTATAAAGCTGGGTAACACAGCCTGAGCTATGCGGTTAAGCTCAGTGAAAGGCCTGGATCTGGGGGACTGGTTCTGGCCTAGGAGCTGTTATTGCCCATACCTGTGGAGGTGCAGATAAACAGTGTCTGGCAGCCAGCTAGCGACTTGCCCTTACAAGCTGTGACCCAGAGTTTGAAAACCCCTGTCTTAGGCCACATGCTAATAATCATCATTTTGGCTATGTCTGAATGGGGCATTTAATTCCCATCTGGAGCATTTATGTCTGCAATTTGGTGCCCACATCCCCTTTGAAGTGCAGAGGAGAGCACCCAGCTAGGGGATTTGAGTGCCTTGTGAAGGTCCCCATGTTTGGAAACGGGGCCTGTAGCACAGAAGGGCCCGGTGAAAGGGGCCAGAGGTGGGCAGGTTGTGTTTGGAAACGGGGCGTGTAGCGCAGAAGGGCCTGGTGAAAGGGGCCAGAGGTGGGCAGGTTGGCGAGAGCTGTGGAAGAATGAAGTGGTTGATGAATCTCTCAAGGGACAGGAGCTTGGTGTTCACACCCAGTCTGTGGGCTCATGAGAGCAAGGAGGCTGGATGATTCGTAACGTGAATTGGAACAATAGGCGAGCAGAGCTGCAATTAGTGCCACGGGGGCTGCGGCTTACGCTTGCCCTGCCAGAAAAGAAGCCATCAAAGACCATGGGATATGAATTGGAACAATAGGAGAGCAGAGCTGCAATTAGTGCCATGCGGGCTGCGGCTTACGCTTGCCCTGCTGGAAAAGAAGCCATCAAAGACCATGGGATACTAATGAAACATGTAGGAAGAGGATGACAAAAGAGAACAAGTCCTGAACCCAGTTACTTCCCTTGGAGGGGCCAGAGGGGCATTAACAACGATCTCCAGCTTTATTGCTCTGACCCCTAAGCCCCTTGCAGTTTGGGTATGAAGGTTTATATTAACTTGTAGGTCCTCCATCTCTGCTGCTTGTAGATGCACCAGCTAAGAACTAGTCCCATGATGGGGTGGAGCTGCACTGCTGTCAGTGGGGCTGTGCTGATTTACACCAGTTGAAGATCTGGCCCCTCGGTGTGTTTTGCCAGTGCCTTATTCAGGCTGGCTGTCCCGGGGCTGCAAGCATGTAGCTACATCTGTTTTTAAGGAAAGAAGAATATAGGATGGGGCAGGGGAGATGGGAGCTGCTTGGAAAATGGACAGTTGTGGGTGGGCATTCTGCGGGTGTGTGAGATGGGCAGACGAGAAGCTGGGTGTGGCTGGTCAGCTAACCATCAATGAGTCTGGTGATCTCTGTCCATTTCCTGATGGTATCCCCTCAACTGCCCCTGCCATTGGTAGCCAGGCCAAGAGAAGTGACCATGGAGATGGGATTTCAGGCAGGATATTGGAAGAAACTGAATCTGCTCTGTGTTCCAGAGGCGAGAGTAAGTCTGACTTTGGGATGCATGTTTTCGCTTCCAGGCGCTTGTAAGCATCTCTTACTTGCACTCTATTATTTGGGCTCACTGAATCCAGAGTCAGTGAGCTTGATTTGCTTTCATTATAAAGCATCAGGAAAAGGCATGTGTCTAGGAAGCTGCCAGGTGGGACTAGCTGCTTGTCTTTCTGGACTGATCAGGTCTGGAAGGGTACTTAAGGGCAGCCTGCAAGGAGGATCCAGGTTGAGCGTGAGGCTTGTGAGCTGCTGGTAACACAGAGAACGTTCATTAAAAGCTACATCTGTCCTGAGCAAGCAGGAAAGGAGGAATCGAAACAAGTCTATAAATCAATAGAAGCAGTGTCTGTCTGGGCTGTGCCCCGTTACCATTGTCGCAATACCAAGACCCCTTATTTAACTTGTACACACCCCAACAAGCGGGTTTAGTAACGACCTGCTAAATCAAACTCAGAGGGCACCAGTACTCCTGATCCTGTGAGTGAAGCCAATGGAAGCAGTTGCTTCTGCCAGCTTCCCACTGTGGGGTGAGTGGGGAAATTCAAATCAAGGTAGGTAAGTGACACAGCTGGAGTTGCAGAACTTGATTCAACCTTCCCCGTTAGTGTAGACCTGGCCTCAGCAAATGAGAGAGCATTTTATTATCGCATACATCAAGAAATGACAAAATGGTGCTATACATTAACCAGCTTGGATGCACTGCTGCCTCCAACTGGATGCTCAACTGATCTCTGAAAGAAAAGACAGGACTATGCAGCACTTTAAAGACTAACAAGATGGTTTATTAGGTGATGAGCTTTCGTGGGCCAGACCCACTTCCTCAGATCAATTTGTGGAAGAAAATTGGCACCACCATGTATACCAAAGTGATACAATCAAACAAAAGTGAACATATCACTTTGGTATATATGGTGGTGCCAATTTTCTTCCACAAATTGATCTGAGGAAGTGGGTCTGGCCCACGAAAGCTCATCACCTAATAAACCATCCTGTTAGTCTTTAAAGTGATACATAGTCCTGTTTCAGCTAGACCAGACTAACACGGCTGCATCTCTATCACTTTCCAACTGATCTCTGCGCTACAGGTAAGAGATTTCCTTTCAGCACAAGCAGTGGAGGGGTGTGCTTCCAAAATAAGAGGATGTGAATTTTGGCCACTGCTCATTAAAAAACTAAGGCACATGTGTAGATTCTGGTGATTTCAGTGGAAATTAAGCATGTGCTTAAACCTAC